ACAGTCTTAGATGCATGAATTCTAGAATTTCATACTATGTTCCATTTTGGTGATACTGTTACCATTCCTCAATGAAACAATCCTCAGCGAAAATTACAAAATGATTCTCAGGGAGAAAAAGTATGACTTAAATTCCCATTATAGTTAATTCTTTTTCTTGCCAATTTTTCACCAAATAACAATTTTCACAAGAGATGGGTCACTGTGTCATGCCAGAAGAGTTTTCTCATCAGAGTCCATTTTGAACATTTACAAATCTACAATTCATCCATGCATTGAATACTTCTGCCATATCTGGTCTGATGCTCCTGCTACTCATCTCAAGGTACTTGATAAAATCCAAAGAAGGACCTGCAATGTAATCAATCCTGACTTGGCATCTCAACTTCAGTCACTTTCTCAATGACATGACATGGCTTCCCTCTGTCTTTTCTAAAAATATTTTCATGGCTACTGCTCTGATGGGCTGTTTTCTCTGGTGCCTAGATTATATGTATCTAAACATGCTACTAGATTAGCATCTAGTTTCCACCATTTTACTGTTGAATTAGGTAAATGTAACTGCCTCTTCCACTCCAAAAGTTTCTTTTCTCGCACTTACCACCTGTGGTACTTGCTTCCTTGCTTCCCTGATAACTACGATCTTCAAAAATTTAAATGCAACATCAAAATTATTTAAAACACAAGCCCAAGGCCATACTAACTGGCAGTGTTCCATCACTATCAAAACCAAAACCTTTGAAGTCACCAGAAGAGAAAAAGAAGAAATCAAACAAAAAGAGAAAGGCTCAACTAAATCTACCTTGTTCTTCACCAAGATTAACATACAGTCAATGGCATCGGCTCTTCCACGCAAGAATTAGTTTACTTAGTTATCAATACCATCACTATAAAGGAAGCATGCCTGCTTCCTTTATGGTGATTTCTTCCTTTATGTTAAGGAAGAAATTAAATCCTTGTATACAAGATAAAGATGACAACAATGCAATATGACTCAAAAACTGAAAATATGCAATAAAAATATTAAACAGACAAACCATGTCAGTTGAATTTAATAAAACTTGTTTGTATAAATATACACTGGCATGCAAACCTATTGACCCACCCTGGTAAATTAATTACTTTTGCTAATTTTACTCCAAAATCGAGGTTGATTAATAGTATCTTTTTCTCAGTACATTTTATGATCTTTGAGGACCAGAAAACAAGTTACTGCATTTTCATTGTACGGCGGATGATAGAACATCTTAAGCATAGTGATGTTGAAAAAAAAGGTCCATGTAAAAACACTGGGACACCAGCAAAAATTTCATCTTTCAGCTCTTTTCTTCAATTAAAAATGAGCTTTTTTTGGGGGGGTGCAGAAAGTGATCTTTATTATTATAGAAAGTATTGAGTTAGTAATTAGTGTTCCTGCCTTTGGCTCGAATATTTGCCTCAACCTGGTGTGGCATTGAATGGAACAAGGTCCAGATTTTCTCACTGGGAATTTTTTTCCCCATTCTTCTTGGCAGTAATCCCAAAGATCATGAAGATTGTGTGGATTTTGTTGGAACACTTGTTTCTTCAGTTCTCATGTATGTTGGCTTGGGATAGGAGTAATTCCTTCAGGAATGAAGATATTTGAAAACATTTGGGTTGCAGATTTATATTTTGATAAGATTCTGATATTTCCTGGAAAGGGATATATTTGTTTGAAAGTAGCAAAGTGGTTTTGGACTGCTGTAACCAGGTAGGACAATCTGGTCCTTGTCATAGTGGTAGGTAATAGGCATAGACAATAGGTGAAGACTATAGGTGTAGCCAATAGGCGTCCCCTGTACCTCCACATCAGTCTGTATTTATGGTTCATATTACTGTGAGGGGGAACCCAGGTGTATGCATATTCATTACATCAGATTCAATAGCAGAACGCTCAAGCAGCCCTCTTGAGAAATTTCTGTCTAAGTAAGTAAAAATGTCATACTTATTAAAAGTGTGGTATTCTTTTAATAAGTGTGGCATTCTTTTAATAAGTGTGGTATTCTTTTAATAAGTGTGGCATTCTTTTAATAAGTGTGGTATTCTTTAGATCAGAGTTGCAGTTTAATTTATTTCTATATCCCATTTTGCATACACCTAAAATGTTGACATTTTCAACTTGCTTGTTTCCTGTTTTATATTTTCTAACTGGCCACAATGGTTTAATGTTCTAACATCCCATGTACTGAGAAGTGTTTTTTTGTCTGGCATGAAAACTGTCATCCAGTGACTGTTTGCACCAGACAAAAATACTTCTACAAGTATAAAAATGTCATACTTATTAAAAGGGAATAACTTACTTAGACAAAGAATTCTCAAAAGAGAATGCTTGGAAGGAGAAAACAGAGCCGAATTTCAGTTCCGGTCGAGTTTGTTACATTTGTTTACATGCAAATAGCTTTTAGGAAGATATGAATCAGCCTCTTCTCCCCTGCCCCAGCTTTGGGTTAAACAGTAGGACAGACTGGAAATTCTGTATCAGACTAAAAGTGGGGAATTGAATGACAAAATTACTGAAATCATAATTGTTATACCATACATATGGACTATAATCAGTATGTACCAATCCTTATAAATACAGTGGAATATAGTGTATGTTGGATTCACTTCCAAGTGTGCTTGTCAAACTATCTGCCTCCGAGCAGAGAGGAACCCAAACGAGGCTATGTCGAAGGGCAGAGTCACAACTGGGGTGGTAGACAGCTACCCGACCCTGTTTTATACAAGGTCTATGGGAAATTTTTGCCCAGACCTATGAGCTCATTTCACCTCACATTAAATTCAGCCTTGTGCTACATCTAACCACGTGGGATGGTTAGTGAACATCTTCACTGGATTCACTTGATTATTTACTAGATGCCCGCTGGCAAATCTCATATGTTGTTTCTGTTATAAATATTATCGTTCCATTTCCAACCTTCATTTTGGTTATTCTTATTCAGTAACCTTTTTCTAGGTTACAACAATAATATAGGATAATTAAAAACAGCAATAAAAACAAAAGCAAAAACAGTAAGAAGCTGAACAAAGTTGGCTAAGGCTTGTGGGAGAATGAAAATAAACTAGAGTCTGTCTATATTTCTGAGATGAGGTACTATGTACAGTATTTACATTATTTGGACTATTGTCCTCATCTTTGTCGCCATATTTATCACAATGTTTCGGCCGTTGTACGCTCCAGCCTTCTTCAGGTGGTTGGAATTTCAAATTGAACCCTTTATTTCGATCACTAGGGTAGACTGTTCTAGTTCCACGTGCCATGTTTGATGGATGTCAGTTATCAGTTATCTCCTGCTAATTTTCCCTCTGAAAGTTCTCCACTGCCTTAACCGGGTATTGAACTCACACATGGCACAGTGGATAAAGGCGTTGGTTAGATCCAGTGACAGACCCAAAGAGTGTGAGTTCAACGGCCAAAACATTGTGATAAATATGGCGACAAAGATGAGGACAATAGTCCAAATAATGTAAATACTGAAAATAAACTAATAAATAAAATAATAATAAAAAAATTAAAGAATTTAATTTTCCCATAATGCAAAAGGAAACCAAAAAGTGTTTCCAGTCATGTGTGAATTTTATGATCCCACTCCGAGAAAGAAAATGATCATTTTCTTCTCAGTTCCCAACTATTGAGTTTGGACATGTTTGATAGACATGTCAATGAAGGAGAGATTCGACCACCCTGACTCAGCATCAGGTTGACTTGGGGTTGACCATTCTCCACATTCACATCTTTGTACCCACATGCATTGATAAACATTGGTGATTCATTTATCTGCTCTTCATTTTGTTTATTGCAGTCCACTGACATTCAAAATTTGTTAGTGGCACAAAATCAAATACAATCCTCAACCCTCCACAGGCTGCACATCTGGACACATCAAATGCCAGAAATTCAAAATATTCATTTAAAGTTAATCATCCCTGTGCATTCAGTGTTTCTATCAATGTTTTTTTATAACCAACATTTGTTTATATTTTCATTATCTGCACTTACATATATATTGTGGAGTGAGTGGCCATGTTTAAATGTAAAATAAGTGACAAAACTGCCCTACAAATAGAAATAACAAAGTTTGCAATAAGCAATAGAAGAAAAAGAAAAGAAAAGAACAGGGTAAAATAATAATAATATGAGGCAAGCAAACAATATATGCAAGGCAAATTAACACTAATAAGGCAAAGCAACAGTAATATGCCAAAAAGTTCACAAATTAAGAATTGTGGCTGACACACAAAAGCAAGTTCGGACAAGTGGACATAGCATTCTGACTTCAAGACAAGACAGACCAGGACTGAGTCAAATATAACAGAGAACTGGGCTATTTTATTTTCTAGGAAAAAATCCCAGCTTGCATTTGTGTGCTTCTGCTTATAAATTGGGGAGTGGCAAGTGTTTTACAGTCATTCAAATTTTTGATTGAATCTGACATATAATTTCATCAATAAATACATTTAGTCTAAAGAAGTCATTTTGAAGATTAAAAGGTGTTATATAGGATTTTTTTTCTCCATTTTGTCATTCAATTGCCTATTCTTAGTTGCCTTGTAGAAGGGGGAAAGTTTTTGGGTTTTTTTTCTGTTGCCTCCTCACTCATGAGTATATTAAGTCTACCCAGTTTATTAATTCCACACTTTTCCCCAGACAGGAAGCAGTTAATTATCATAAATGGTTCAAGTTTTTATTTGCCTACTTTTATGATGACATGTGTTGAAAGATTCTGTTTCATTACATTATTTAAAGAATAGTGCGACATTGATCTTTTTTATTCTTTTTTACCACATTTCATTCTTTGATAAACTTAATGTGTTTTTTTTTTTTTTTTTAAATGTTTCTTTACTTAAATTCTAAATGTTTGGCCCTTTAAATGATTTCTCACCCAAACTTTTATTAAGATCTTCATTTCTTATTGAGAAAAATTCCAGCCTCCAAATTATTAAGAACCACACCTTGTTTTATGCGCCTAAAAATATAGATCTATCTATCTATCTATCTATCTATCTATCTATCTATCTACTTCCATTTTAATCTCCAAGACAAACCTAAAAACCTTAATGTTGAGTTGACTTCTATATAAAATATTATCAGAATGTTAAAAGAATAACGTGACCTAACACACACACACACACACACACACACACACACACATATATATATATATATATATATATATATATATATATATATATAATATTTATTATAATTATTTAGCTCTACTCTGTATTGAGCCCTCTTTTAAATTAAATGTTACAGACAGTGGAATTATATTTCATTTGTTCTCATCTTAGCTGGATATATATATATATATATATATATATAGAGAGAGAGAGAGAGAGAGAGCAAGGTTTTACATATAAAATCTGCCAACATTAGGTTGGTAGAATTTATGACCTAAAACACGCACACACACACACACATATATATATATATAATATTATTTATTATGATTATTTAGCTTTACTCTGTATTGACCCCTCTTTTAAATTAAATGTTACAGATAGTGGAATTATACTTCATTTGTTCTCATCTTACCTGGATATATATATATATATATATATATATATATATATATATATATATATATATATATATATAGTGATCTACATTTTCTGTCTTTCTGAACAGTGATCCAAATTGATTTTATTTTCACACTTTTATGATAACAATATGTTAAAAGATTCTGTTCGATTGTATTGTTTAAAAAGAAATCACTTTATTTTAATCCTAATTTCTGGGCTCTTTAAATGATTTGTCTGGCCCTATCACTTGTCATTTTCTTTAAAGCAATCAATTTACTGCATATTGAGAAAAAAATCTACCCCACAAATTATCCAAACCCCCACTCTCAAGATGCACCTAAGAGTAGGACCAGTACATATTACTCCTCAATGGGAAGGTAGTCTGATTGGGAGGCCTGGTAGTGCTTTGTGATACTCACTATCTTATCAACAATTGCTTTTTGCTACTTACATTTATATAACATATATATATATATATATATATATATATATTCTAAATAAAAAACAGACCACTTTAAGGTTCCATTATAATAATTTATTTCACCAGAGCCCTTTTAAAGGATGCCAGATCATCAGATAGCCCTTGCAAAAAATGGAAGTGCTATCTGATGATCCAGCATCCTTTAAAAGGGCTCTGTGAAATAAATTATTATAATGGAACCTTAAAGTGGTCTGTTTTCTTTAAAATATTAGCTCTGGATTTACATTGAGCTCTCAGGATTTCATCCTCCTTGGGACTACCCATACGGATTACCAAGTTTTTCATAACATAACTATATATATATATATTTAGTTGGATTGATATGAGTTTGTGACCCTGACAATCGCAAATAGCATGAAACCTAGGGTCACAAACTCACATCAAACAAACTAAATATGTTAGCTCTATCACTTATATTGAACACTATCCAATAAGTACTGTGCATATATAATATATAAATAATATATATAAAATTGCATATATATATTTATAGATATATATATGTATTTATAGTTATATACATACACATTTTACATATATATATATATATATATATATATATATATATATATATATATATATATATATATATATATATATATCATATATTTGTGTACTTAGGCAGCAAATTCTCTTTTAGGTATGTCTGATTGAATAAATTACAGACATTATGTCTGCCAACTTTTAACAAAATCCGTTAAAGGATGAGAGAAATGAGCTATAGCTGTTTTAATTTCTTTTATTTTCATTTCTCAAGTACTTCTGATCTTCTTCCAAGATCATCTTCAGAGGTGCAAGTTGTACAAAACTATATGCTGTTCATTAGTACAAGTATTTATACAAAGTTATGCATTGTTATCCATTACCGTAATTTTTTCATTATGCTTTTAAATACAATACAAAATGGTTGACAATGTGCATTCACTAGAACATAAAAAAAATTATATATATATATATATATATATAGTTTATGAAAAACTAGGTAATCCATATGGGTAAACCTAAGGAGGATAAAATCCAGAGAGCTCAATGTAAATCCAGAGCAAATAATTTAAATAAAAACAGACCACTTTAAGGTTCCATGTAATAAATTATTTCACCACAGCCCTTTCAAAGGACTGCGGATCATCAGACTTTATTTTCCAAACAATATATATATATATATATATATAACTAAGCACAACTGACTATTAAAGGATGAAACATTTTCACAGATTTTGACATCATTCTGGGGGCTTTTTTAATCTAAATCCATGAAATTTGTTTTTCTCATGCTAAGTCTAAAAAGATGCTATATAAAATTCACTATTTTTTATCCATAATGTTGAATGTGGTAAGTTAATCAACTTTTTAACAAGAGAAATCTCAAGTTGATGTTAAAAATTATCGCAACACATTACTGATTTAATTAAGATGGAATGAGCTATCATAACATATCTCTAATTTGTATTTAAACACATTGTATTTATTTTCAGTTTTTCTAGTTGAATTGTTCATCTATATGATCCATTATTGTACAGAATTAAGTTATAATAAAATTTGTATTTTATTTGTTTATATGAACATGAAAATTGAAATCTAGTATAGTGGGGGCCTCATATCATAGATTCAGGAGAATGGGTGTTGTATCCTGTCGTCACTCCCACATTTTTTTTTAAGCAATCAGAAGAAAACGTTTAACCAGCATTATTTTAAGATTGATTCAGGATATAAAAAGGCCTCAATGTAATGAAAAAGCAACATTCCACAGCCCATGCCAGGGGATGATTATTATCTCACAATTGTGTCTCTGTTTTCAGGCAGAGTGTGACTTAGTTGTGGCCTTGTCTGCAGGCAAAGACACAGTTGGGGAAAATAAAAACTGTGAGGTGCCTAGTCCAGAGGAACAGCTGCCCAAGGCTACCCGACACCATTACACTAGAGAGTGGGGATCAATAGTCATACTGAAGCAAGCGCAATCGATGGTTGAGGGGGCTGCACAATTTTTGTCCCTGTCCCACAGTTTTTGTTTCCTGTTCTCCACATGAAACCTGAACATGTAGCACATCATGTCTCAGTGGGGAGGGTTAGATAAATACCACATTCCATGGCCAGATGACTAGGACCAACATGTAGTATCTTTTCCAGCAGCTGACAGCCAGCCCACTGCACCAGCCATTAGCTGCAGTTCCAGCTAGCCAGCCAAACATCATCATCTCCAGCTTTTACCATCAACCACTGCTCTAGCTCATCCTTACCAGGATCTCCAGTCATCCTTGCCAGCAGCAACGATATGCAATAAACTGTTCTTTTTTCAGATAATACTCTTCAATGGCTACAGAACTGTCTTTTTCAGGACAACGCTCTTCAGTGACCACAAAACCGTTTTTTCAGGACAATGCTCTTCAGTGACCATAAAACCGTTTTTTCAGGACAATGCTCTTCAGTGACCACAAAACCGTTTTTTCAGGACAATGCTCTTCAGTGACCACAAAACCGTTTTTTAGGACAACGCTCTTCAGTGACAACAAAACCGTTTTTTCAGGACAATGCTCTTCAGTGACCACAAAACCGTTTTTTCAGGACAATGCTCTTCAGTGACAACAAAACCGTTTTTTCAGGACAATGCTCTTCAGTGACCACAAAACCGTTTTTTCAGGACAATGCTCTTCAGTGACCACAAAACCGTTTTTTCAGGACAACGCTCTTCAGTGACAACAAAACCGTTTTTTCAGGACAATGCTCTTCAGTGACCACAAAACCGTTTTTTCAGGACAATGCTCTTCAGTGACAACAAAACCGTTTTTTCAGGACAATGCTCTTCAGTGACCACAAAACCGTTTTTTCAGGACAATGCTCTTCAGTGACCACAAAACCGTTTTTTTAGGACAACGCTCTTCAGTGACAACAAAACCGTTTTTTCAGGACAATGCTCTTCAGTGACCACAAAACCGTTTTTTCAGGACAATGCTCTTCAGTGACCACAAAACCGTTTTTTCAGGACAATGCTCTTCAGTGACCACAAAACCGTTTTTTCAGGACAATGCTCTTCAGTGACCACAAAACCGTTTTTTTAGGACAACGCTCTTCAGTGACAACAAAACCGTTTTTTCAGGACAATGCTCTTCAGTGACCACAAAACCGTTTTTTCAGGACAATGCTCTTCAGTGACCACAAAACCGTTTTTTCAGGACAATGCTCTTCAGTGACCACAAAACCGTTTTTCAGGACAACGCTCTTCAGTGACCACAAAACCGTTTTTTTTTAGGACAACGCTCTTCAGTGACAACAAAACCGTTTTTTCAGGACAATGCTCTTCAGTGACCACAAAACCGTTTTTTCAGGACAATGCTCTTCAGTGACCACAAAACCGTTTTTTCAGGACAATGCTCTTAAGTGACTACAAACTGTTTTTTCAGGACAATGCACTTTGGTGACTACAAAATTGTCCTTCTCAAGACAACACTTTTCCCACTCCACCCCCTACATGAGCATGCAGAAATATTTTTTGCCTAATGCACTATAACCTTATCTTTGTTGATGCATTTTCTTTAACAAAAATAAGCTTTGAAATATATTTTTTTTACTCAAGTCTTCATTTTGTTTGTTGTCTTCTGTTATTCAATATCTGTTTGTGGGACAATATACTATCTGCAACAGAGGCATTATTGCTTCAGAGTAATTAATCCTCACAGCTGAACAGGAGACTTGAGACTTGAAGTAACAGAAATGTGGCTCTACAGAAGGATGCTCAGAATACCATGGACTGAATATGTAAGGACATGTAATTGATCCATAAGTGGATGGAGAAGTAGTGGATTCATACCTTTCCTAATGGTATTTGCATGTAAGTGAATATAACGAACCCAACTGGAATTTGAACTCGGCTCTCCGCTCTCAAATTCCAAGTCGTTGTTTATTACACCAACCCACACATCCAAGTTTACAACACCTGGTATTCCCAAGCATTCACCGATCTAGGTACTGTCCAGGATCAATATTGCTTAACTTCAGTGAACATTCAAGAACCAGCATTTCAATGTGATATATGTCGTAAGCTTATTAAAGTCAAGTGGGAGAGG